GGTAGCATCTCTTTATCCATCCATCTGTTGAAGGGCATCTTGGCTCTTTCCACAGTTTGGCTATTGTGGCCATTGCTGCTATGAATATTGGGGTACAGATGGCCCTTCTTTTCACTACATCTGCATCTTTGGGGTAAATACCCAGTAGTGCAGTTGCAGGGTCATAGGGTAGCTCTATTTTTAATTTCTTAAGGAATCTCCACACTGTTTTCCAAAGTGTCAGCACCAACTTGCATTCCCACCAGCAGTGTAAGAGGGTTCCCCTTTCTCCATAACCTCTCCAACACTTGTTGTTTCTTGTCCTGATAAGTTTATGCTGAGCGAAATAAGTGAAGCAGAGAAAGTCAATTATCATATGGTTTCACTTACTTGTGGAGCACAAGAAATAACATGGAGGACATTAGAAGAAGGAAAGGAAAAGTGAGTTGGGGGAGATTGGAGGGGGAGACAAAGCATGAGAAACAAACTGAAGGTTTTGAAGGGGAGGTGGGTGAGGGGATGGGTGAGCCTGGTGGGTATTAAGGAGGGCACATATCCCATGGGGCACTGGGTGTGGTGCATAAACAATGAATCTTGGAACACTGGAAAGAAAATAAAATAAAAAATAAAGAAGTAGGGAATCATGGATATTTAGAGGCAACTAGCAATCTCTGCCCTATATCCAAATAGGATTTCCACTTCTAGAAACTAGTTACACAGATATCAAAGACTTAATGCATAAAGATGTTTAGCACAGCACTTTTTGAAACAATCAAACAAGAAAAAATTCTGAAATCTTTAAAGATTTGGATAAAAGAATTATGGCATACTGGTACAATGTGATGGTGCTCCATGTGCAGACATGGTTGGAATATATAGCTAAGTGAAGAGCAACTTGGGAAACAGAGTAGAGTGTAATCAAATTTTTTAATAAATATATGTGAATTTAAAAAAACCACAGTAGCATCTCATTTGTTTGTACTCTCCTCCTTGCCTCAGGCCTCATTACATTAACAGTTGACCTCATTTTGCTACAGTCTGTTTGCAGCACTCAGGCTGGGAATTCTGCCACCCTCTGGCTCCTGGGTCTCCGCCAGCATCCCTGGCTTTAGCTTCATTCACCTAGCCAGCCACCGCTGCTCTCTGAACGCTCCACGGTCCATCTCCCTGGGCTGTGCTCACTGGTTCTGGGTGGGTTCTGAGCGCAGAGCTTGTGGCAGGGCTGGAGCTTGCTGTACTCCCCTTGTGCTCTTTGCACATACTTTGTACTATGACCCCTTCCCTGCTGAAACCTGCCTACCTTCTACTCTTTTTCTTTCCTTTCTGCCTTTGCTGAGTACCTGCTCTGGTCAGGCTCTGTGTTAAGTACGGGGCCATAGAGAGAAATAAGTCTTGTGCCCTAGCCCTGAGAAACTCACAGGCTATCAGAAGGCAACCAGCGTGAAGGTTGAAAAACACACAAGGGAGTCTCTGAGATAGCAGTAAATAACCCATGTTTACTGTCCGAAGAGTGGGTTGGTTAGGGAATCCTGGTTGGAGGAGAAGGAATGGAAATACCACTGTAGACTATTGTGGGCTGGGCAATGAGGAATGGAAATGGAATTATGATGAGGAGAAGTACATCATTAGTAAGGCATAGACTAGATTCTTAATTTCCCCTCTTTTTCTGATACACTGGTTTGTAGATTCTGTATTAGGGTTCTTCAGAGAAACATAAGCTGGATGGATGGATGGATGAATGGTTGGATGGATGGATAGATAGATAGACAAATAGATATGAGGATGTTTATTATAGGAATTGGCTTATGTGATGATGGAGGCCAAGAAGTTCCATGATCTGCCATCTGCACCCAAAGAACCAGGAAAGCCATTGGCACTATTCAGTCCAAGTTCAAAGGCCTAAGAACCAGGAGGGCTGACGATCTCTGTCCCAGTCTGAGTACAAAGACGCGACAAGCAGGAGTGCTGATATAAGAAGGCAGAAGAAGATGGATGTCTCAACTCAAGCTGAGAGACCAAATTCATCCTTCCTCAGCCTTCTAGTTCTACTCAGGCTCTCAGTGGCCTGAGGATGATTGAATGACATGCACTCCATTAGTGAAAGCAGTCTTCTTTATTCAGTCTACTGATTGAAATACTAATCTGTTATGAAGGCAACCTCACAGACACACCCAGAAAGCTTCCTTGGCATCCCTTAGCCCAGGCAAGTTGACACGTAAAATTAATATCACAGATTCCCTTAGGACTGTGGAGTTCAGTCCAGGGCTCCCCTGAAGGGACCTGATAATTCTCACCTCTCCTTCTGTCAGTTTTAAACTTCTCCTCTCCTTTAAATCCCACATCCACATTCTTAATTACCTACTGGAAATGTCCATCTGAAGATTTCCAGAACACCTCAAAGCACTCTCATTCATTACTGTACGCTTGATCTTGTTAGTAATTGTGTGACGATGCATTTGAAAGCTGAGGAAGCAGAGATCCAGCAAGGGCAGAGGCAAGCAGAGAAGCCAGACTCCCTAAGGCTAGTGCAGGATGCTGCTTTCGATGGCACAAGAATCTGTCTTTGTAAGGCCTTCCATTTAACCTTAGAGGCCTGGCCATGTGGCCTTTGGGTATTCACCGTCCTGATGGCAGTGCCATAGTCCCTTCCCAGTGTGTCCTTTGGGAGAAAAACTTTACGGCCACACTTGGGCTAGACTAGGGGATCAGCTCCATGGTGAGCGACGTTTGCACGTAACAAAGCAGAAGGCCTCCCTGCTACACAAGTCGGAAAGTTGTAATGAGAGCCGGGATGTAGCAGAAAGACCATGCGGTCAGGCAAGTCTGGATCCGAGCCCCAGCTCTGTTACTTTTCATGGACCCCAGCAAGGCAGGGCTCCTGTGAAGCGTCGGTGTTCTGGTCTGTAGAGTGGGAATACAAATACCCTGCCTTCTAGAATCGCTGTGAGAATCCGAGCTGGTGGGTGTAAGTGCCTGATATGTTATATATCTTTTCTATTTCCCTTGCTTTCCTGTGTGGGTTAAGGGGAGAGAGATATCACATTGGAAACTTATCAGTAAAGATTCAGTTCCACAGATATTTCCTGAATCTGTGAGCTGGCCAGCACTGTGCTGGGCACTGGCGTACGGACAAGTGACGACCGCTAGGGGCCACATAGTCTGTCAGCCACATTAGGCTCATTTCCTTCCTGCCAAGCTTGGTAGCTCATGGGATGGGGCAGGCTGGATCTCTGAGCTCTGGCCATGCATTTGACAAGACAGAGGAGTGTATGGACTGGATGCTGGTGTCTTTAAGAGGAGTTAAAACGGGTTGAAGAGATCCAGAGGCTACTGACAGGTGGAACAGTATTACCTTAGAGGAGCGAGGGTGACTGTCAGATCCTGTCCTCGGCCCTGGTCATTCAGTATTTGTAGTCATGATTTGGGTGAGAATATGAAGTTGGAGAAAATAATAGGCTCTTGTTCCACCGTGATCTGGATAAGGTAGGATGGGGACTGAACAGAAGAGCCGGGCACCCAGTCTGCATGCCCACCTGTAGCACTTTGAAGTGGGGGCGGGTGTTGGCTTTCGCAGAGTCTTGTTTAAGCAGGAGGACCTCTGACTTTCAGCAAGGACGTAAAGCTGGTGTTGGAGTTGGGAAACCTTGGAAACCTCTGGTAGAGGCTATAGGGGGCTGGTGTGTTCCAGAAAGAAAGGCAGCTCGCTGTGCTGCAGGCGTATCTCGTCTTGGTACCTGAAGGGCAGGAGCGTGAAGACTTGCCTGGGGTCGGGAGGCCCAGCCTGCCTGGAGGCTAGAGGATGGTCGCCAGGGGACCCTCGGTTTTCTCTGGCATAAACATATAAAGGACATGGCTGCCACCCCAGTCCTCATAACTCCCCTCCCTTGGATGGAAATAGAATGTGCTAATCTGTCTTTGATCCCACACCCGTCCCCAAGTCCTGTTGCTCTGCTGTCAGTCAGGAACTATGAATATAACACTTTTGTCAGACTGGGCCTCAGCTACATGTGTCTTTTCCTGCTGTCTCAAGCCCGCCTTGGTGGCTGCACCTGGGTCCTTTTGGATTCACCTTAGCCCTTGTCTTTACCAGGCCCTGGGACCCTGTCAGTCCCACTTCCCCCTCCTCAACCTGAGGGTAACCCATTACCCTGACTCCCACACCTGCAGCTTCTCCGAGCCCACCGCTACTCCATCCCAAATTGAGAACAGTCCAGGCAGGGGCCACGGCAGCAGCCCTGCTCTCCTTATGGTCTCTTCAGGTCTCCTGTGCCGTGGCGCAGAGCCCAGATCTGGTAGGCTAGGAACAATGGCAGGCTCCAGCAGTGGCCCTCTTCTGCTTGGCTCAGTTCTCAGGACATATCTTTTATACTTATCTTCTGGTATTGTTCCTCAGTCTTGCTCTGAACCCCAGCCACCAGCGCTTTGCCACATTGCCGCTGGGCATTCTCCGGAGGTGGCTCTGTCCCTCTATTCCTGGCACCTGCAGTGTCTTATACATTCCAGCCTCTCGATGTTCCTCCTGTCCTACCTGGTCTGTGGGTCAAGCCACAGGGGGCTCTGTGTCTTATGCCTAGAAGACGCGAGCTGTCCAGGGGGCCCAGCTTCTGCAGGAACTTCAGTTCCACAGCCAGGCCTCAAGCTCTCGTCATCTGGCTTTATACTCTTACCAACCGTCCCGTTCCCCCTACTCTAGCGCTGTAGCATCGCTTACTCGTCAGACAGAAGCCCCTGCGTGTGGGCGCGTGGGCTCATTGTAGGCCAGGGGCAGCTGGGATGTCCTGAGAAGGCACTCGTTTTTAGGCAAGTACGTTTAGTAAGCTTCCTGTCCTGCCTTTGGGCCTCTCATCTTTTCCAAAGAACCGTACTTCCACACACTATACTGGTGTGTGGCAAGTGTGTGTCCAAGAAGAGAAACTAACTCTCTGTAGTGGGAAGGCCTCGTGCAGGACGGGATGCAGTGGGGTGTGCAAGGCTGAGTGTGCAGGGGGCATCCTGTCTCACCATGGCTTCCTCTTCTGCAGTGACCCGCCATAATCACCTCAAGGACTTCATGCTGGTGGTGTCCATCGTTATTGGTGTGGGCGGCTGCTGGTTCGCCTACATCCAGAACCGTTACTCAAAGGAGCATATGAAGAAGATGATGAAGGATCTGGAGGGGTTACACCGAGCTGAGCAGAGTCTGCACGACCTTCAGGAAAGGTAAGGCCCTTCCCCTTCCCCACAGCCGTGGTGCCACCAGCTCTTGGGAGCCTCCTGTTTCCACCTGGGCTGTGGGCCGTCTCGCCCGGAGATATGCTGACGTGGCTGCGGAGGCTGTGCCTACTTCCAGAACTGCTTTGGGAGGGTGGGGTCCTGCCATCGCTATTGTGTAGGCAAATATTCCTACTGAGGGCAGGAGCTTATTTCTGTCAGAGACCTTGAGCCTCCCCGGTTAGATGGCTTGCCCACTCTGTCCTTCTTCCTGCATCTGAACTGTTACCTTCCTGTAATTAACTGTTCCTCACTGTTCCCCAAAGCTCACAAATCTGTCTTCCTAATACTTGTAGTTCTTTCTTGTATGGAATCTAAATCTCATAAGTACTCAGTTGTTATGTGACTTTGGGTAAATCCCCTTCCTCTTCTGGGACTTAGTTCTTCATCAGTACTAAGAAGGGGTTGAATCAGGAGAACACTAATGGCCTTCTAGCTCTGACAGTCGGATTCTGTTTAAACAAAACATGGCTTAAAGACTATTATTTTAGGAGATCCAGCTGTGAACAGAAGGTGTCAGTCAGTCAGTCAGTCTAAGTACTTTCTGATGTCTAGGAACCAGGTCTGTGCTGGGAATTGTAAGGAATTCACTGCTCCTGGGACAACAAAGCTCACACACATACGAAGGAGCAGTGAGTACACTCTTAGTGCAGTGACTTGTGCCCACTGATGGCATGAGGACTCTAAGAACAGGAAGGGCACAGAGGCAGAAGATGAGTGGATATGGACTCCAGAAGATGACCTTGAAAGATGGGTGGATTTTTGGGCGGGGGTGGGGGGTGGTCCTGGTAGTTAAGTTTGAACATATATAGAGTGAGGCCAGATCCCTGGCACCTTAAGACTCACATGGAGAAGTTTTAGTAAGATGCAAAAGGCAATAGAGTGTTAATGCATGTATTTGGTGTTGTGCTTTGTTTTGTTGTTGTTTTTTAAAAAAATTATTCATTTGAGAGAGTGAGAGAGGAGAGCAAGCAGGGGCAGCGGCAGAGGGAGAGGGAGAAGCAGGCTCCCCGCTGAGCAGGGAGCTTGATGCAGGGCTCCATCCCACCACCCTGAGATCATGACCTGAGCCGGAGGCAGCCGCTTAACTGGCTGAGCCACCCAGGCACCCCAGCTTTGTTTTTGAGAAGAGGAGGGACCTACTTCAGGACTGTCTTTTAGAAAATTATTCTGGCAGCTCAGGGAATCCAGTGGAAGTCTTTCAGGAATCCATGTAAAAGGAAATGACATCTGGCTCTTTTCTGTCACTTTTAAAGATTTTATTTATTTGACAGAGAGAGATCACAAGTAGAGAGAGAGAGAGAGGAGGAAGCAGGCTCCCTGTCTAGCAGAGAGCCCGATGTGGGACTCGATCCCAGGACCCTGAGATTATGACCTGAGCTGAAGGCAGAGGCTTAACCCACTGAGCCACCCAGGCAGCCCTTCTGTCACTTTTAAATGATACTCTTTTCTTTGGAGGGCGGGAAAGGATTTCTTATGAGCTAGGGATTATTAGCTGCTTAAATGCATTATCTTTTAATCACCACAACTATGTTAGGTAGGTACTTTTATCATCCCTAGTTTAAAGTTGAAGAGATGAGGGCTCAGAGAGGGTGAGTGCTTTGCTTAGGGTCACATAGCAGGAAGTAGTGAGCCAGGAGTTTGGACAGCCACAGGTGCTGTCCGGTAAAGGCGGCCCTATCAGATTCATTTCCATGGGTTGGGTTTCTAAGGGGCAAGTGGAATTTTATCTCTGAGCTGATTCCTGGCTACTTTTCTGGGCCCCTTGGTCCCGGGCCCTTTGCCAAGTGGGGGCTAAATGCTGCTGTTTGGGCAGTCCCCATTCTTCATTTGTCTGAAAAGCATGTACTGTTTTCATTCCAAAGGCAAAGAATCCAAGCAGGAAACATTCCAACTTTGGGGATAAAACTAAGCTCCCAGCCCTCCCCACTCCCCAAGGCCTCCAGAGCTTAATGACCACTGTGGCACTTGGAGGAATGAATGCATGCGCACGCCCAGAGACAGGCTTACACACGTGCACATGCATGTCTTCCTCCGACAGTGTCCAGAGCCCACACGCCTCCTTGTCCCTCCTTCCTCTACTGGCCCTGTGCTGCCAGCTACCACTGAGCTTTTTTTTTTTTAACAGAGTTCCTGATACTTTGGGGGAATAAATGTAATTCCATATGTGCATTCCAGATAGGATTTCATGGGGTTTCGAGATAATTCTTTGAGGCAGGGATTCTGATTCCCATTTAGAAATGAAGAAACAGGCCTGGTGCAAGGAACGGACTTGCTGTAGTCCCACAGCTACTGACAGCCGGGGCCTGCAGCCAGGCTGCCTCAATCTCTTACTTGTAAGGCTGACTGACCACGGCCTTCAGGATGCTCAGGCTTCTGTGGAGTCTTGACTGCACGTGTATTTGCTCATTTCTGCTCCCACTGGTACTTACGATCTTCATCTCTACCAGATCTCGTTAGGACTATAAAAGGGGGTCAGGTTTTTTGATTCTACTTTAAAGGAGCTCCTTTCAGCTGGACAAGACTGACAGATCATAGGTTTTCCTGAAGAGGCTGCTCCTTGGTGAAGAACTGAATCCCTAATGGTGTGATTCCAGGCGGTTGGGTTGAAGAATAAGGTAGAGGAGGGTATTCAGCAAGGGGAAGCAGAGGGGGCAGGAAATGGCGCCTTGAGTTTGATTTCAGCTGTGCCTCTAGCGCCACCTGGTGTGTACCTTGAGGAGACCCAACCTCCCTTGCTCTCCAGGGACTGAGTGGGCAGAAGACTGCAGTTTGTCAGCGGGAAGCTTGCCGCCTGGAACTTTCTCTTTGTCCCTCCCTGCTCGTCCTACGACCTCGTTTGTGGCTCCAGCCACTGACAGGTCTGGACTTGGCAGTTGTTAGAGGTTGAGTCCTGTCTTCAGAATTTCTATTCTGTCTCTGCCCCTTCGTTTCACCTGCTTGATTAACTCAGTGGTCAGTGCTCTTTTCTGAGGGCTCCTTTTGTTCTGTAACTTATCCAGCTGTACCTCATGTCTAAGCCATAGATCCCTGTCTTCTTCATCATCCTTTCCTCTCCTGCCCTGGTCTCTTGTCACTTGGTATTTCTTACTAAGGTAGGAAGACCTGACTGTGGCCAAGTCCTTGCCTTCTGCCAGAGGGATTAGCAAACTCTTTCTCTTTCTTCTGGGTCTAGCCCAGGCCTCACCTTCCCTGACTCCTCTCAGCCAGAGTTGATCACTCCATCCTTTGGGCTCATCCAACAGCTTGTATGTCTCTCTCTCTCATAGAACTTGTCACACTGTGTATAATTACCTGTTTACTTGTCTATATTGGGCTAGGTCCTGAGCTCCCCAGTGGCAAGGGCAATTTTCTCATTCATCTCCATAGATCTGGGACTTAGCGCAGGGCTTGGCATTCAGTAGATGCTTGGAAGTGCTTGCTGAAGGAATGGATGAATGAACGGGTGGATTAATGTAGATATGTAGAGGAAGGAAGGGCGGAAGGAAGGTGGCTGGGTGCTTTTGTCAGTGAACAGAGAGAATGTGTGGGTGGGTACAAAGGTATATTTTCATTATAACTCAATCCTTGAGATCTTACCACCATGGAAGATATTCAGAAAGAAAACTCAGGGCTGGGGGCAGCAGGGGATCTCCCAAGACCTGCCCAGCCCCTTTCGTATGAATTTCATTTTTCTCTGCCTCTGGGAACAGGTACTTAGGACTCCAAGAGTTGCTGCTCAATTCCTAATTCCTTTCTTGTCTTCCCTAAATATCCCCACTGCCACCACCCCAGTCATATCTCAGCCATTGCGCCTTCTCTGGATCTTTGGCCTAGCTTGCAGGGTATTCTACATTTGCTGAACCTTCCAGACAGCCCCAGGATAAGGGGAATAACTATGGGATTTGGAGTCCTACAGATTGGAATTCTAGTCTCAGTTCTACCTGCAATTACTTTCCATTTCTAAATCTTAAATCCAGACCTGTCTAAGCTGCTAATGGTACAATATTCAATTATCTGAAGGGAGGACACATGGAAATACCCTGTAAACTAGCAGTTGTTGGGATCTTAGTATGTGAGGCACCTCGGAGGAGGGATTCACATACCCAGGAACCTAGCTTGATTACTGGCAGCAAAATGATGGCCAACATAAGAGACATGGTTGCCACTATGTTTCCTTTTGGCCCTGAGCTAACTCACAGCCAGTCAACAAAATAAGGAGAATATATTCTCAGTGCCAGAGCCCTCATTTTCCTCTTTGATGCCACGACTCGTGGCATATTGGCTGGCACCCTTGCCTGGCCTTCTCCAGCTCCCCGCATCACCCCCAGGCTGCACAAGGCCCAAGAGGAGCACCGCACAGTGGAGGTGGAGAAGGTCCATCTGGAGAAGAAGCTGCGTGATGAGATCAACCTTGCCAAGCAGGAAGCCCAGCGGCTGAAGGAGCTGCGGGAGGGTACCGAGAATGAGCGGAGCCGCCAAAAATATGCTGAGGAGGAGCTGGAGCAGGTAGGAGATTGTACAAATTCCTGGGCGTCTTGGGGGGTGAAGGGAGGAAATGTGCAGGGGCCAGAAGCCTGGCTGGAATGTTTCGTGAGGGAGGACTTTGCAATCTGGCTTAAACGATACCTTCAAGAGTTGCTAGAGTCTTACCAATAAGAGTAGTGGAAAAGTTGCAAAAGAAATAGTCAAAGAATAGGGGATAACAGGTGTATTTTATTTTATTTTATTTATTTATTTGACACAGAGAGAACTGGGGAAGCAGGCAGAGGAAGGGGGAGAGGCAGGCTCCCTGCTGAGCAAGGGATCCCCAAGTGGGGCTCGATGTGGGGCTTGATGTGGAACTTGATCCCAGGACCCTGGGACCATGACCTGAGCTGAAGGCAGACCCTTAACAACTGAGCCACCCAGGTGCCCCGGGGATAATAGATGTTAACAGTTATTTTTTTCTTTTTTTAATCGAAGTATTTATATAAAGTGTACAAATCATAAATATACAGCTGGAAAGCTTTTACATGAGCATGTACCTGTATAACTGCCATCCAGATCAAGGCACAGAATACCTTTTTTTTTTTTTAAAGATTTTATTAATTTGGGGGGAACTGGAGCTGTGGAGGGAGGGGCAGAGGGAGAGGGAGAAGCAGACTCCCCACTGAGCAGGACCCAGGATCATGACCTGAGCTGAAGGCAGATGCTTAACTGACTGAGCCACCCAGGTGCTCCCAGAATATATTTTAAGCACCCCAGAAGTTTCACTTTTGCTTCCCCCAACCTCCCCCATCAGTATTCCATTAGAAGGTAACTGTGGTTATAATCTCTAAACCAGATTTGTTTTACCGATTTTGAACTTCATATAAATGGCATTATATAGTATTTTTCTTCATGCTTGGTTTCTTTTACTCAGCATTATGTCTGTGAAAGTTGTCCATGTTACTGCATGTAGTGGTAGTTGGTTTATTCGTATTGCTAAGTAATAATTCATGGCATGAGAATATTCTAAATTATTTATCCATTCTCCTTTTGGTAGACGTTTGGGTTGTTTGCAGTTCTTTTTTTTTCTCTCCTTTTCTGAATGACACTACTATGAACTTCCTTGCACATGTCTCTTGATGAGCATAAGCGCTTACTTCTGTTGGATATAATAGGAAATTTATATATTTAGCTTTATTAGAAACGGCCAGTTTTCGAAAAATGGTTGGACTAGTTCGTACTAGCACCAGCAAAGTGTGAGAATTCTAGTTGAGCCACAACCTAAAAACCTTGTTAGTTTTAGGCTTTTTTTTTTTTTTTAAAGATTTTATTTATTTATGGGGCGCCTGGGTGGCTCAGTGGGTTAAAGCCTCTGTCTTCGGCTGGGGTCGTGGTCCCGGGGTCCTGGGATCGAGCCCCGCGTCGGGCTCTCTGCTCTGTGGGGAGCCTGCTTCCTCCTCTGTGCCTGCCTCTTTGCCTACTTGTGATCTCTGTCTGTCAAATAAATAAATAAAATCTTAAAAAAAAAAGATTTTATTTATTTATTTGACAGACAGAGATCACAAGTAGACAGAGAAGCAGGCAGAGAGAGGAAGGGAAGCAGGCTCCCCGCTGAGCAGAGAACCCAATGCGGGGCTCCATCCCAGGACCCCAGGATCATGACCCGAGCCGAAGGCAGAGGCTTCAACCCACTGAGCCACCCAGGCACCCCAGTTTTAGGCTTTTTAATTTTACACATTTTTTAAAAGATTTTTAAAAATTTTTTTAAAGGGGTCACTTTTATTTATTATTTTTTAAAGACTTTTATTTATTTATTTGACAGAGATCACAAGTAGGCAGAGGCAGGCAGAGAGAGAGATTGGAGGAAGGAGGTTCCCCGCTGAGCAGAGAGGCCGACGCGGGGCTCGATCCCAGGACCCTGGGAACATGACCTGGGCTGAAGGCAGAAGCTTTAACCCACTGAGCCACCCAGGTGTCCCGTAAAAGATTTTTAAATTTTATTTTATTTATTTATTTGACAGAGAGAGAGAGATCACAAGTAGGCAGAGAGAGGCAGGCGGAGCGGGGGGGGAAGCAGGCTCCCTGCTGAGCAGAGAGCCCAATGCAGAGCTCCATCCCAGGACCCTGGGCTCATGACCTGAGCCGAAGGCAGTCGCTTAACCAACTGAGCCACCCAGGTGCCCCAATTTTACATATTCTGGTAGGGATATAGTGATATTTCATTGTGACTTTAATATTCATTTTCCTAATGACTAATAATAAGAAACACCTTTTCATAAATTTATTGACCATTTTGTTTGGGAATCTCTTTTGTGCTGTCTTCTCTTTTTTTTTTTTTTTTTTTTTTTGGTCTGTCTTCTTCTTAATGGATTTGTAAGAGTTCTTTATATTTTCTGAATGCAAGTCTTGTTGTCTGTATATATGTATTGCAAATATTTTCCCAGCCTGTAGTTTGTTTGTTTGTTTTGCTCTCTTAATATTGTCTTTTAATGAACAGGTCTTGATTTTAATGAAGTCCAACTTAGTCAATCTTTTTTTTAAACAATTGGTACTTTTTGTAGCCTGTTTAAGAAATCTTGCCCATCCCCACGATATTTTTCCAAATTTTCTACTGGAAGTATTATTGTTTTACTTTTCACATTTAGGTTTGTAGTTTATTTATTTATTTATTTATTTTTAAAAAATATTTTATTTATTTATTTCACAGAGATAGAGATCACAAGTAGGCAGAGAGGCAGGCAGAGAGAGAGATAGAGGAGGAAGCAGGTTCTCCGCTGAGCAGAGAGCCCGATGCGGCACTCGATCCCAGGACCCCGAGAACATGACCTGAGCCGAAGGCAGAGGTTTAACCCACTGAGCCACCCAGGCGCCCCTGTAGTTTATTTTGAATTAGTTTTTGTGTATGACATGAAGTAGGAAGTCAAGGTTCTTTTTTTTTTTTTTAAGGTAGATACTTTATTATGTCGTCCATTTGTCCGTCTCTCTACCACATTATCTTCTACTAAGGCTTGATATTGCTAGTAAGTTCTCCAGCTTTATTCTTCAAGGTGGCCTTGGTTCTTCTAGGTTTTTTGCATTTCCATAATTAGCTTGTCACTCTACTGCTTTTCCCTGCTTCCCCCCAAAAGCCTTGCTGGGATTTTTATAGTTTTTGCTTTGAATCTATAGATCAATGTTGGAGAAAATTGACATTTAATTTTTTATTTTTTAAAAGATTTATTTACTTATTTATTTGACAGAGAGAGACACAGTGAGAGAGGGAACACAAGCAGAGGGAATGGGAGAGGGAGAAGCAGGCTTCCCGCCAAGCAGAGAGCCGGATGTGGCACTTGAAGCAGGGCTCCATCCCAGGACCCTGGCATCACGTCCTGAACCGAAGGCAGAGGCTTAAGGACTGAGCCACCTAGGCACCCCGAAAATTAACATTTTAACCAAACAAGTTTTCCAATCCATGAGCATTGTTTGTCCTGTCACCTATTTAGGTTATTTACTTATTTAATTGAGAGTGAGAGAAAGAGAGAAAGCTAGAGAGAGAGACAAGCTGGGCGAGCAGCAGAGAGAGAGCTGAGCAGGGAGCCCAATTCAGGGCTCGATCCCAGGGCTGTGGGACCATGACGCAAATCAAAGGCAGACACTTAACCCACTGAGCCATCCAGGTGCCCCTACTTAGGTCTTTTAAAATTTCTCTCAGATGTTTTGTAGTTTTTAGTGTAGACATCTTACACTTTGAAAATTTTTTTTAACTTGCTTATTTTTCTAGCCTCTTTTTTTTTTTTAAGAATTTATTTTAAAGCAATCTTTATACCCGACATGGAACTCAAACTCATGACCCTTGAGATCAAGAGTTGCCTGTTCCACCAACTGAGCCAGCTCGGTGCCTCTTATTTTTCTAGCTTTTTTTTCACCCTAGCTTTTTGAGGTGGAAGATTAGGTTATTAATTTTAAACCTTTAATCTTTTCCAACACAGGCGTTTAGAGCTGTAAATTTCCAGCTCAGCACTGCCTTAGCTGCTGCTGAGTTCTGGTATTTCATATTTTCATTATCATTCAGTTTATTTTATTTATTTTAAATAAATAAATTTTTTTTTCAGTTTAAAAGATTTTCTAATTTTTATTGCAATTTTTTAGGGGGAGTCCATGGTTATTTAAAGTAAACGTGTGGCCTAATTTTCACACACTTGGGAACTTTTCTAGTTCTTTCTCATTGATTTCTAATTTCATTTTGCTGTGGTCAGAGAACACATACTATATGTTTTCAATTATTTCAAATGTGTTGAGACTTGCTTTAGGTAAACCGACTAAACAACACAATTGGAAGGCAAAGAGTTGTCAGAATGGATAAAAATACAAAACCCAGGTATGTGCTGTTGACAAGAAATACACTTGAAGGATACAAAATGGTTCAAAGTAAAAGGATGAGCAAAGATACACGATACAAACACAGAAGAAACTAAATCAGGAGTAGCTATATTAGTATCAGACAAACCAGGCTTTAGGGCAGGAAGTATTACTGGAGACAAAAATCATAAATGTGTGAATCCAACAGTAACATATAACAGCACTCAATTTGCATACATCTAACAATATAGTTAAAATATATCTAAAACAAAGTTGAAGAAACTAAAAGGGTAATAGACACATTTATAATCAAAGTTAGAGATTGTAAAGCACCGCTGTCCATAATAAGCAGCCCAAAATATTATTTTTGGATGTAGGCTGTATGGGTGTAAGACACTTAAACATGATTATCATCATCATGCCCTTATGGACACATACAGAGTATTTTGCCCGATAGCCACCGGGTGCACCTGCTCTTTGACGTTTGCCTAGTGCTTCTGTTCCATTTCCTCCTCTCCTTCTGGGGATCCAGTCTTCATGTGAGACCTTTTCATTGGACAACACTTGTCTCTTATGCTTACTTAGTTGTGTCTTTTCTCTCTCTCTCTCTCTTTGTGCTTTGGTTTGGTTATTTTCTATTGATGTATCTTTGATTCCCCAATCTTATATTCTGCTTGAACATTGTGGTGTTTAACCCATCATTCGGTGGGATCCTACTCCCGGATACTGTAGTTTTCAGATCTAGAATGCTCAATTTACTCTCTTATAGATTCAGTTTCCTGCCCAGAATTTCTGTCTTTTCAACTATTGCGTCCATCTTTTCTATATTTTCTTGAAGATTTCATAGTTATTTTAAAGTCCTTTTGTGGTAACTCTCACATTTAGATCACTTATGAGACTGCCTATTTTTCCTCTTAATTATTGGTTATATTTTCCTGCCTTTTCTCATGTCTAGCAATTTATTTTCATTAAATTCCGGACAGTGTGTATAAAACAATAACAGAGGCCCCAGATGATTTTGTCCTCCATCAAATAGGGACACCTCCTACCCCCTTTCCTCTGTTAGGTACATAGAGTGAGCATCTCATCACCTCCGGCCAATCTGAAATTGAGCCGTGTTGGAACTGGGTTGTAGTTTTAGTAGGACTTGGTCTAGCACTCATTTGTCCCAGTTTCTCAGCCATGTCCCTTCCTTTTTCTTGAGAGCTGGTGGATTTCTTTCTCCTGAACCCATGAGAGATTCATGTCTGTCACTGGGAGGATTTTAATTTATCTCATTGGCCTCCTGCTCGTCACAGCTTCACAATTTTGAAGCTCTCTTGAGGGGAGGACTAGCAGTGTGTTTGAGGCAGGTCCCTTCCTTCCTGCAATATTTGGTGTTTCCCAAGTATTTTGAAATTATGGGAGATTTTAGTCTGTCCATTGGCCTAGCTATGTGTTCTTCTGCACAGCCCAGAGCTCAGTAAATGTTCATTGAAGAAAATGGCATGTATGTTTGGGATATCTCCATTTCCAATCTGTCATATCAGTACCATACTACCAACAAAAGCTAGGCTGGTTTCTCTGGGCCCTGGTGGAGTCCCACTGCCTGGGCCAAGCCCAGTTATCAGCTCTCACCTAGAACTATCAAAAGCCTCCAAAGAAGAAAATGGCTGACAGTTGTGAACTTGCCTTAGAAAGGCTTTTTCTCCCTCTCTGGATTTTTAGTTCATTTAGTCCAGTGGTTCTCAAACTTTTTGGTCTCAGGACCCTTTTACTCTTAAAAATTATTTTTAAACATTTTTAAAGGGGAAATATGTTGCTATTTACCTAGTTAGAACTGAGAAAATTAAAAAAAATATTTACTAATTTGGGAGTGCCTGGCTGACTCAGTCAGAAGAGCTTGCAGCTCTTGATCTCAAGGTCATGAGTTTGAGTTCCACCTTGGGTGTAGAGATTACAAATAATCTTAAAAAAAAAAACAAAACTAATTCTGGAACGCCTGGGTGGCTCAGTTGTTAAGCGTCTGCCTCTGGCTCAGGTCATGATCCCAGGGTCCTGGGATTGAGTCCCACATTGGGCTCCCTGCTCAGCAGGAAGCCTGCTTCTCCCTCTTCCACTACCCCTGCTTGTGTTCTCTCTCTGGCTGTGTCTCCTCTCTCTGTCAAATAAATAAATAAAATCTTTAAAAAAAATACTAATTCATTTAAAATAAGTATATTAAACTCCTTATATATTAACACAAATAACATTTTTGAAAAATTCCTGCATTTTTCAAAATAAAAAATTAAGAATTTTTTTTTTTTTTTACAATTTTGCAACTATTTTTAATGTGTGGCTCAATGGACTACTGGATTCTTACATTAGTATCTCTAGTCAATCTGTTTTGATATTACTCATGTAACCTCTGGAGAAATCCATAGTCATTGTGAGAGAAAGGGAGAGAAAAAGGTAGGTAAATAATGTCTTAGTATTATTATAAAAATAGTTTGGTCTTACAGATGCTCTGAAAGGATGTGCTCAAAGATCCCTGGATCCTACTTTGAGAACCATAGACCTAGTCTTATTGCTTCTGTAGCCCTCTGATGTCTTTGAAAATTTTTCATAATTATAATAATTTGTCATTCGAGAATTTCATAATTTTTGTAAACTTAGCTTTCCCCAGATTTTGCGTTGGATCAGAATTGTTCTTCTGTCATGACCTACTGCATCCTATGGGGAAGTGGGAGCCCGGTGTGACCCTGTAAAGCACATGGCCAGTGGTTATTAGCTTTGCTGCATATAAGAACACTGTGAGAGCATTCAAAATTTTTGATACCCAGACCAGCACCCCCAGATCAGTGAAATCTGGGTGTGGGTCCAGATTTCAGTATTTTTAAAGTTCCCCACGTGATTCTGGTGTGTGAGAGGTTGAGAACCACAGCCACAGAATAAAAGAATACTCTTGACTTGCCACAGGTCTTCTCTCCTTCGGGCATTTATTCCTTGTGTGTGGCAAGATGTGTCTTTCTCTGTCTCCTAACTCCCCCACCCCCATTTCCATTTCCCTGTTTTGTATTTCTCTCATTAAGTAGTTTTGAGCCTATTAGGCCAGCCTTTCCTGACTGTCACATTTCCGTCTATTTGCTCTATTTCCTCTTCTCTTCCTGTTCTCCCCTTAGCTTTTCCCATTCCTTTTACTCCTTTCAAGGTGGAACTGGATCACACATTTTCAGACGTGGTGTATTAGACTCTGAGGTATCTGTTCTTCATTTTATTTTTTTTTTAATTTTATTTATTTATTAGAGAGAGAGAGAGAAAAGCAGTGAGAGAGAGCGTGAGAGGGGAGAAGGTCAGAGGGAGAAGCAGACTCTCTGTGAAGCTGGGAGCTCAATGTGGGACTCGATCCCAGGTCTCTGGGATCATGACCTGAGCCACCCAGGCACCCATCTGTTCTTCATTTTAAATCTACAAAGCCAGGAGTAGGTTGTGTATAGTTTCCTTTTCAAGGAACAAAATCCCTATGAAGATTGGTCTTCTCATTGGCTAAGGAATAAAGGTGTTCTCTTTAGCTGAGGCCTCCCAGTCTATTGTAGGCCATGGAGAGAACCTCAGACCTGCCTTGGGGTACTTGCCCCATTGGCTGAAGTTGGGCATAATAAGTCTGTTCTCAATCCCTTTTCTTGGGATTCTGACCAGCTAAATTTCAGTGTATACTATAGCCTGGGGAAGATAGCAAGGAATCCAGTGTAGATAATGTCTGTGTAATCTCAGACCTTCCAGGTTCAGTGCTTTGTGACCGTCTGCTTTGTTGTCTGCTCCTTGCTTGAGAAGTCAGTGAGATTTCTGCTTATACATTGGTTCTTTCATGTCTAGGCCTCCTTTGGCAACATCCAAGTTAAAAGTAAGTGTGATTGTTGTCTACTCACTTTGTAGAGGGTGCCCTTCAAAGGCTACCAGCCCTGCTCAATGGGAGAATCATAGACCAAGCCTCTGGGCTACAGGAGACTTGGAGAGCATTCAGGCCAACCCCCTTACAGAGTAGCAATCATTTTTTTTTTTTTAAAGATTTTATTTATTTATTTGACAGAGATCACAAGTAGGCAGAGAGGCAGGCAGAGAGAGAGGGAGAAGCAGACTCCCTGCTGAGCAGAGAGCCAGATTCAGGGCTCGATCCCAGGACCCTGACCTGAGCTGAAGGCAGAGGCTTTAACCCACTGAGCCACCCAGGTGCCCGGGGATTAGCAATCATTTTTAAGATCTCTCTGACCTGAGCTGTTTGCATACCTCCTCCTGAGATCACCCTACACTTATGGTTTGGATTTTCAAGGGAAAAAATCCTTCCTCAAACAGAATTGAGATCTGCAGGACCAGTTGAGTGACAGACCAGGGACCAGAACCAGATTTCCAGATTCCCAGTCGAGTGCTTTTTCTGCTACATTGTGTTGTCATGAGGTCTAAACATAGACCCCAACTCCCAGAAAGAAGATGATTCACTAAGCTGACCTGTGCCTCAAGAGAGCAGGGAGGATTGCTGAGTTTGGCTGTGCCCCGGGAGGGACAGCTCATTGTGTGGGCAAACAGCGCTCTAGTCCAGGCAACAGAAAAATCTCAATTTGAGATCTGGTGACCTTGAGTAGGTGACTGTCTTCTGAGCTTGTGTCCTTGTAGTATATAAAATATAAGCCTCTTGAGAGTCTTGAAAGCTCCCATGAGCTAGCAGGTGAGAACTCTGAACTCAGTGGTATCAGACAGAAGACTGGAGGGGGTCTTGGCAGCAGTAAATGGGTCGCACCTCTTGGCTGCACAGGTCCGGGAGGCCCTGAGGAAAGCTGAGAAGGAACTGGAATCACACAGCTCATGGTATGCTCCAGAGGCCCTTCAGAAGTGGCTGCAGCTGACCCACGAGGTGGAGGTGCAGTACTATAACATCAAGAAGCAAAACGCGGAGAAGCAACTGCTGGTGGCCAAGGAGGGGGTGAGATGCGCCCTCCTGCTGTCCTCTGTGCTCCTGGCCTGCTCCCTTTCCCTGCCCTTCCTCCTCTCTGCATCCCTCCTGTGGAACCAGGAGGTATCCTGGTGCTGGGTTCTTTTTCTTTTCCTGATATATAGTTCCTGATGATGTCCTCAAGTTTCTGGAGGAGGGAATGAGGGTATGGGTGTGCTCCCACCTGCCTTCTGGAAAGAGGAAGCCGGTGGAGCAGGTAGAGGGAAGGCTCTGTCAGCCCCGGCCTGTCATGGGACAGAGCACTCCTGGGGTCGGGGGTCTTCCTGCTTCTCTCATTGCCTCCATATTCTTCCTTCCTCACTCTTTGCCCTTCCCTTGCCTTCCTTTTCCTTCTTCTCTTCCTTTCTCTCATGCAGCCTAAGCTGTGCTAGGAGGAACAGGGGGACCCCACCATAGAAAGGCACATCTCATTTCCAGTCTCTAATCCCTGCTCTGTTTAAGCTGAGGACCTCATCTTTGCAGGCTGAGAAGATAAAAAAGAAGAGAAACACACTCTTCGGCACCTTCCACGTGGCCCACAGCTCTTCTCTGGACGATGTGGATCACAAAATCCTGACTGCCAAGTGAGTAGCACCTGCTGCCTGGCTCTGGTGGCCTCCGCCCAGCCTCCGAGCTGGGGGAGGGCAAAGTTCCCACCCAGCTGTACTTCTTCTCTGGTCGAGGGGCAGCGCTGGTCTCCTGCCCTGGCCTTTACCTGGCTCCCACCTTGCCCTTCTGTGTCTGACTTAACTGTGGTTCTGACCTGCACCCCCACCCCCACCCCCACCCCGCTTGCTCCTCTGAGAGGACTCATTTCTGCTGGGGCCCCCAGGTGCCCATGGCTTCACTTGTCTCCCCATGCTCCAGGCAAGCTCTGAGCGAGGTGACAGCAGCACTGCGGGAGCGCCTGCACCGCTGGCAGCAGATTGAGATCCTCTGTGGCTTCCAGATTGTCAACAACCCCGGCATCCACTCCCTGGTGGCTGCTCTCAACATAGACCCCAGCTGGATGGGCAGCTCGCGCCCCAACCCCGCCCACTTCATCATGACGGATGACGTGGATGACATGGATGAGGAGATTGTGTCACCCTTGTCCATGCAGTGTAGGTGACCTCCTGGTCGTGGGGGAGGGAACGGGCCTCTGAGGCAGGGGCTGAGAACTGTTGGCTATAGGGCTGAACAGCTTCTGGGGCAGACACCGAGGGGGCACAGTCAGTGGTCAGTGCCGGGCCGTGGTTCCTACGCCCAGCTCACGTCGGCTGGCCCTCCATAGTGGTGCTCTTGGTGGGTTTCCCTCACTGTATGTTCTGTCTGCCCCTCGGGGGCCATGTGTTCAGTGTGTCTCCTTCACTCTGTGTTTTCCAAATCCCTTTATCCTCCTCTCTCTTCCCCATGTGCCTTCATAAAAACAGTCTCCTTTGGTGTTTCATAATACAAAAATGGTATTTATTTTTGCCTTCCGAGTACTTTTGTGTTTTCATTTTTATATTCTTTATTCTTAATTGCTAAAGGGGACGAATGGGATGATATCTTTTATCTCTCTGCCTTTTTGTGTGAGGCCCCATGAAGCAGCCATCCCTTAAAGAGACATAGCCCTAAATCCTCCAAGCCAGAAAGACGTTCTTGTCCCGGAGGGATCTCCTGCACAAGCATGTCTGGCTTTCCACCTGAGTTCTTGGACCTCCGCACCCTTTCCTGGGCCTTCCCTCTCCTCTTCTCCCCTCCAGTGGTGAGAGCTGAGTAGAGCAAAGTCAAAGAGATAACTCTGTGTGGGAAAACTTCTGCAAATGAGGGGCTGACCTCTGAGTGGCCCAGTTGAAATTTTCTTTGGACCAGGGGCGATTTTAAGGAAAAGCTGTGGTCCTGGGCCCATATACCATGGGGTTGGCTTAGGGACTCAGCCTCAGAAAGCCAGATTCTTTCATCAGGCTGGATTCCAGCTCCAGACAGGATTTGTTTGTAAATTTGTTCAGCAATAGGTTGCCTGTGGCCAGACTGTGTTGCCACAGCGATGTGATATCCTATCAGGGCTTTAGTCAAAGACCCAGCAAGGCTGGGATCACTGGCAGGCTGGTCTTGATCCTAAACACTGTTCCATGGAGTGGGAGGGAACTTCATTAGCTCTGAGTCATCCACTCCTTGTCCCTGGCCCTCCCCTGATCCCATTGAAGGGTGGGCTGAAGCCCTCTGTAAATTAGATTCTCTTCTCCTTTTGGCCTGGCTGTTGGACCCTAGATGCTGCCTGGCTGATGGGGCGTAGGTTCAGTGACCGCTCTCTCTGCTCAACATCCGGCGGCTCGGATGATCAGTCCCTCTGGAAATACCCGGGTTTGAGGAGCCCCTTTGGGGCCTTTGTTTTTCCGACTTTTGGGACTAACACAACACTCCTACCCTATGAGCCCCTTCCCCTGCCTGCCTCACTCCCCTGCCTGTTCCCTGTATTCCCTCAGCATTGCCCCTACTAACTGCTGGGAGAGGTTCGGGGGGGTGAGAAGGATCAGCCTGCTCAGCTGAGGACCAGAGGGAGAGCACACATGGTGTTGGAAGCCTTGGGCTTCTCTTTTCAGCTCAGCTAGACAGAAGTCCTAGTGGCCCTTCTTCCAGCTGGGCTGGGATGGAAAGAGAGAAGGAAAGATCCTTCTCCTCTTTTCTCTTTTTCATGTTTCTCTCTTTTCCTCTCTTTCCCCCTTTGCCTCTTCTCATTCCATGCTGCTTCTTCCTCTTCCTCCTCCCTTTCATGCCTTCAAAACCACCAGCCATAGAAGCCTTGTCTCCCTAGCCCTCCATCACCATGGAATCGTTTTCTCTCCCTTGTGGCCTCTCTGTGGCTTCTGGCACCCTTGTCACCTGGCTCTTTCTCCCATCTTTAGGGAGAAGTCAGGGTGGCCCATCTCTTAGGGTAAAGGAGAAAAAAACAAAGGTAGAAACTCTGCTTTCAGCTGGAGCTGGACGTGAGCCCAGGGGGGATGCTCTAGTACTTTCCCAAGTTACCCAGTGCCCACATATCCCGTTCACTGGGCATGGTGGCCGTCATCTGCCAAGAGCCTGATTTGTAGCATTGCTCCAAGATCTGGCTCTTTATTGCCTGCATGCTTATTAGAAGAAATTTGGAAAGTGGAAAGTGTAAATATGAGCATAAAAAAAGGGCACCCATAGCCCCACCCTATTTTAGCATCTTCTCTTACAGTCTTCTGAAGTCTGTGGAATTTTAAATGATTTTTATATGGTTGAGGTAATAATGGCCACTGCTATTTATTGAGTGCCATGAACTGTGCCAGATACTTTAAATGCACTTTCTTGAAGCCTCACAACAACACTGCAGGATTTTATAAATCAGGACCTAAAATCGGGAAGTAAGTTGCACAGAGTCATGGCTACAAGTGGAAAGGCCCCATTTCAGACTCTAGTCTTTTGTGTTCCATAGTTTGAGGTGTTTCTTTTATGTCTAATTTTGTATCCTTTTGTTTCCCCTGAGCATTTTAATAGGTATTTTTGTATGGTTTTCAAATCTTAAGCAGCATTTTTAATAGTTATAGTTTGTCAGCAGTCAGATATACCATCCTTTTCCCCTTGTTCCAACTTTATGTGTACTTTCATACGCTTATTAATTCATATGTGATGAGCGTGTTTATGTATAAATCCTTGTCCGCATTGAGAATTATTTCCTGAGGTTGGCTTTCTAGAAAGGCTGGTTCTTAGTGCTCTCCCGGACCTTGCCCCACACCCCTGTCCCAACCTGCCCTGCCTGTGTCCTCCCACTCACCCCCTGCCTCTCCTTTCTAGTCATGGTGGTCCTTGGTCTCCCTCCATTGTAGCTGCCACTAAAACTGCCCTGGGCACCTCATCGTTAATCTCCCCTTCCTTTCAGGACTCCCTGGTGGGAGGTCTTTGGGAGGCGGTGCCCCATTCTCCAGATGGGCACCGAGGGCCCAGAATGGCCCGCCGCAAGCATCTCTCTAGGGGCAAACCTGCTTGCCTGCCAGCCCAAAGGAGGCTGGCCCTTCCTCACCCCTTCCTTCCTCTCTTTGCAGCTCCCACCCTGCAGTGCAGTGTCCGGCAGCGCCTGACGGAGCCGCAGCATGGCCTGGGATCTCAGAGGTTGGTAGAGGGCGAGGCTGGCCACTTCTTGACAAGCCGGGTCTCTCTGCGGCGAATGCGCAGCCTTTCATCTGGACAGTCTTTCAGTTCTGAAGGCCACGGGACCAGCTCTCCATCTGCCTCTGCTTCTTCTTCCTGCTCCTCTTCCACCACCACCACCACCACCACCTCCTCCACCACCTCCATCACCACCGTCCATGTCCACCCTGTTTATTACCATCACAGCACTTCCTATTTCCTCCAGTTGGAGCCCCACCCTGACCCACCCCCTTCTGACAGCAGCGCTGTGATGCCTGGGCACTCAGAGAGCTTGGGGTATTGGCTGTCTCTCTTGTCTTTCTTTCCTCCCTCCCTTCCCTTTCTGCTGCCTTTACCTTGGCCTCTGCCTGCTGGCTGCTGCTTGCTCAGCTGTTGGGGGTGGGGGAGTGTGCTGTGGGGCATCTTCTCCTCATCCTGTCCTCTCCCGGCCCTGGGGCTCCTTCTTAATGTCAGCCTCACTTCCCACAACTTTGTGCTCTTCTCTGTGTGGGGTTTGCTGACTCTAAAAATGAGGACAGCGCCCCTCCCTCATGGTCCTCTCACACTTGGGCCTAAACTATACACCTTCATATCCGCTGTTTCAGGGGAGGCCTTGCTTCCTTTGCTCCTTTGATGGAACATTTTGAATACCCGTTCTGGGCCAGGCTCTGCAGGACATGGGGTTCATATGTGATAAGATACAATCCCAGCCATCCAGGAGAGGTACACAGATAATTAGGGAACAATTTGAGAAGTGCTACGGGGGTGTTGAGGAGGGAGTGACTAGCAGTGTGCAAAGGGTGGAATGTTTCATGGAAGAGATGACATTTGTGCCAACACCCTGTGTGCAGGAGAGGAAGAAAGTGTAGTCTAGGCAAAGGAAGCCTGACGTACAGAGGTGTGGAGGTGCAAGAGAATAGGATGTATTTGTGGTTAGGACCTTGGATGTGTGTTGGTGGGAAGGGGTGGCAGATGAGGCTAGGAGGAGGAAAGGCTCTGAGGGGGGCGGTTTGGGCCGTTACCCTTTAAGAGATGGAGGACTGCAAAAGGATTTCTAAAAGGAAGAGAATCAGATTTGCATTTTGGAGATAGGGGCCTGTATGAAGAAGAGAAGGGGAGAGTACAGAAACTGGAAAGTCACTGGGGTAGACCAGTAGGGGAGGTAGTGAGGTCTAGGGGTGTAAAGGAGAGGATTAATTTGGCAGGTGTCTGGGAGGGGTGGAGGAGAGGGAGGAACCTAGGAGGACACTCGGGTTTCTGGCTTGGGTGACTGAATGGATTTGGGACCCTTCATGGAATTAGGGAACTGAAGAGGTTCAGGGATTTGAGCAAGAAAAGTTTATAGGTGGGATGAGCTTAAAGTACTCACTTTCAGTTTTTTTTTTTTTTTTTTTTTAAGATTTTGTATATTTGAAAGAGAGAGCACAAGAGGGGGGGCGGGGGGGCGTGGTCAAAGGGAGAAGCAGGCTCCCCATTGAGCAAGGAGCCCAATTTGGGACTCGATCCTGGGACTCCAGGATCTTGACCTGAGCCAAAGTCAGTCGCTTAACCAACTGAGCCACCCAGGTGCCCCCGCTTTAATGTTCTGAAGGGTCAAGTAATTTTCCCTTCGTCCCACAGCTCATTTGGAACAGAACACAGTGTAGAACTTGACTTTCCAGTCTTGAACACTCTTTGGGTACTTCTGTGCTTCCCAGAGGTCTCAGTAAGTGAACTGTGGAAGAACTGATGAGAGGCTTTCTCCCATAGCCTGGTCTAGCAGGGGCTGGGCCTTTCCTCGCTAATACCTCAGGAGATAGTCTAGGGTCAGAGATGAGAGAGCCTTGACCTTGCTTGGAACAAGCTTAGGGGAGCCTTAGAAAGTCCCTCTCCTCTAGAGGGACCTTTCTTCTTGGAAGTTGTGGCCTGGCCCAGCCCTGGCCTTGGGGCTGCAGCCTGCTGACTGCCGTGGATTTGTGGATTTCTGGTCGTGCTTCACTCTGGGTGCCAGTCCGTCTTGCTCTGCTACTTCTGGATAGTTATCCTTGAGGGCGTTTCCTTTGTCTTTCACAAAGGGGCTGCCTTTCCTAGCACTTTCACCCAGCACAGTGGCTCATTTTCATTCTCATCCTCATTGCCATCCAGAAGCTTAGGCAGGGAGACTGCCCCTCCCCACAGAGGTGGAGAAGACTGGATTGGGGTTCAGGGCACTAGGGGATGCTGTGAATCCCGTGCTCCAAAGGCCCAAGCTGAGGGCAGTGGGGAGGGAGGGCAGGGAGGTACCTGCACCCACCTGGCCTGTTCACTACTTAATTTTCTTTTGCACCATGCACCAGAGGACCATCTCTAAAGACAAACAGGCTCTCTAGTAAGGTTAGTAGCTTGGTATGGAAGCCCAAGGCAGCCCAGCCTGTGGGGAGGGACACCCCTGGCCTGAGTGTCTCAAAGATTCAGGGAGGGAAAGTGAGCTTGCCTCAGCAGGCCTTTGACCTCCTGCATCTGCCGGAGCTTCCTCAGGCTCTTTTCTGGCTTTGGAAAGTCTCAGCTTTTAACTGATGACAAGGCACAGAGGGATGGGAATCATGGCCAAATGGGGCTGTGGGGTATGAGGAGTGAGGCTGGGAGGGCCCCAACCCACTGACCGCTCTCCCTTGGCATTAGAAAAGTAAGCTCCCGGGAGCCTCACCTCATCAGGATAGAGGGCCCCTTTTCCCAGTGTGGTTGCTCCCCAGAACTGTCTCAGCGCCTTGCTCTGTGGTCCATATGAATGTGGAAAAGGCAGGATATGGAGTGGATCATCTTGGAACTTAGGGAAATGAGGGCACATTTAGACAGAAGCGAGGACAGTATCAGATATATGAAACCAAATGTGAAACTGAACATGAATAAACAGTAGAGGATGTGGTTGAAACAGTATCTGTAGGGTGGAGCTGGAGCTGGGATTATTCTCTGCTGCTCCTTGTCTCCAGGAAGATACTGGCCCACAGGGTAGCTACTCAGTTAATTGCTTCTTACAGAGAAATAAACCTCAGGAGCTATGAGTCAACCTTATGCCTTTGCTTATTTTTGGGCCCTGGTGCCCTCCCTAATTTTTGACCCACAGCCTCCTCCTTTCCAGGTCCTATGGTGCTCTCCCCTCCCACTCCTGACTTTTCCCCTTTGCTTCCTGACTTGGGTGTTTGTTTCCCTTAGCCTTCTCCTCTGCCCCTACCATGGGTTCTCCTCTGGGAAAGTAGAGGGAGAGTTAAGAGACTGGCAGGGGACACCCGTATTTACCCTTTTGTCTGTAGGGGCAGGAGAGGAGGCATCTGGAATTGGTTCATGGGCCTTCTTAGGAATAGCCAGCCCCTTAGAGGGCCTCAGCTTTCTGGACTAACCTCTGTGTGTGCATGTCCAGTGTGCAGTGCTACGTCCCCATGATTCAGCCTTGCAAAGAAGTCTCTTAAGATTGGCCCATGTCTGGGTCTTCCAGCTTGACTGGCCCCATCATCTTCCTTCCCCCAAACTGTCTACATTTCCAAGTGATTTGCCAACATATCAGATCCTCCAAACAGCCTTGCAAGGTAATTGAATTGGTAATTTCTTCATTTGGCCAAAATTGAGGACCAAGCAAGGTTAGATGACTTGTCCTAGGTCACATGACAAGCCTCAAGCAGAGATGGAAATTATGACTTCTAGTGCCACTTAGAGACCAGCGTCCTGTCCTGTCTTTCTGCACCTGCCTACACTCTCCCTTTCACAGAGCTCCGAAAAAGACCCCCCTTTCCAACTGCCAGCAGACTTTGGTTTGAACTCTGAAACACTTTTCTGTTTCAGGACTCTTCCTGTCCCTGCCAGAAAGAGGCAGCAGCCTGGCCTTTTGGGGTGCATAAGGGATTATTTGCAAGGCTGTTCTAACCTTCTCCTTCCCAGCCTGGGTCAGGGCCACTTACTGCATGCGCCCTGTTCCTTGCTGCCCGGCCCAGTCTGGATGTGTCCCGGGGTGTGACAGGAGTCATTCAGGGAGGAAGGCATGGGGAATGGTGATTCAGGGTAATGTGTGGGTTCTGTGTTGGTTTAGGGTTGAGAAATCCAGCCCGCTATGGGAAGGCAGAGATTTTATTGAGGGGGGGATTCAAGCGTATGGTTGCACCAGTTTAGGGCCTGGCCACTCAGCAGGGTGGGGGCCCGTCATTAGAAAGCCCTTTGCCAGACAGATGATGGTGTAATGACTTTTGGTTTTGCTTCTTGTTTGTCTCTTCTTTATCACTTTTCTCCTTCTTTCTTTCTTTCTTTTTTTTTTTTTTTATCCTCTTGGCCTTTCTTATTTCTTTCTGTTCCTCCTTTTGCCTTTCTTTCTCCCTGGTTTTACCCTCCTCTCTCTGTCTCTTCCCCAACCTGTCCCCATTCCCTATTCCTGCCTATCTCTTGTCCTGTACTTATGGCATACTCAACTTTCTTCTGTTTTTCATCCTTCTCTCTTGCCTCCCTGCCTGTTCATCCTCTTTTCTCGCCCCTACCCCTATTTCTATATCCATTTCCCACCCCTCCTTGTCTTCTCATGCTGTTCCTCTCTCTTCTTCACCTTTCTTCCACTCCCCTCTCCTGTATGTATCCCTTTCTTCCTCTCTGCCTTGTCTTGCAGGGATTTGACCCTTTCCGATTCGGAGTCCTCCCTCCACACGAGTGACCGCCAGCGTGTGGCCCCCAAGCCTCCTCCGATGGTCCGTGCTGCAGATGAGGCCCTCGGTGCCATGACTTCCAATGGCAGCCACCGGCTGATTGAGGGGGTCCACCCCGGGTCTTTGGTGGAGAAACTGCCTGACAGCCCTGCCCTGGCCAAGAAGGCACTCCTGGCGCTGAACCATGGGCTGGACAAGGCCCACAGCCTGATGGAGCTGAGCCCCTCAGCCCCACCTGGTGGCTCTCCACCTTTGGATTCTTCCCGTTCTCACAGCTCCAGTTCCCCAGACCCAGACACGCCATCTCCAGTTGGGGACAGCCGAGCCCTGCAGGCTAGCCGAAATACACGCATTCCCCATCTAGCTGGCAAGAAGGCTGTGGCTGAGGAGGATAATGGCTCCATTGGCGAGGAGACAGATGCCAGCCCAGGCCGGAAGAAGTTTCCCCTCAAAATCTTTAAGAAGCCTCTTAAGAAGTAGGCAGGATGAGAGTGGCAGTGGTGGGACAATGTGTCCTTCCCTGGTCTTCTGCCCCCCTTCCTCCCCTTCCAAGATACCTGGCCCCTAGAGCGGGGCACGGGAGGCTGGCCCAGGGGCCTGGCCACTGTACATACCTGCCCCCCTCATCCTTGGGTCCTTCAACATTATTTATTAACTGACCACCATGGCCTGCCTGCCCTGCCTTTCTCCCAACCATGGGCTGCTGCTGCCACTCCCTCTCTACTTCAGTGCATGTCTTAGTTGCTGTCCCCTCAGCCCTCACCTCCACCTCTGGGGTCCAGCTTCTGTCTCTGCTGTCCCAGTTTTGAAGTTTGGTTTCTTGTTTCTGTTTCCCGCTTTCAGGCTCCTCCCTCCCACCACTCCCCAACTTCCCCTAGCAGCCTGGGGGTGGGGGGAGATAGGAGGAGTAACTTCCGACATCTGTGCCTCAGACATGTTCCACCCCGCCCACAATGGTTCTGTTTGCCTCAGACTGGGGCCTGGGGCCTAGGGCCTAATATTTGAGGTCTGTTCTTTGGGAGTGTGGTGGGCCAGAAGGAAACTTGGCCCGGAGCTTGCTTGAGCCTCTAGGGGTTTGTGGGGGAGTGGAACACATTCCTAGAGAACAAGCTACTAGAGAACTTTGAAGAGAGGCTAGGCTAGGGGGTAGGTTGGGAGAGACTCCTCTCTTAGTTGGGGGATGAGTAGAAGCCAGATGTGTGGGCCACAGGGCAGTCACCCTTTCTCTCTTCTCTCACCTACACCTGCCTCTTTCTTAGCCCTGCTCCCCCACACTGCAGGAGGGTTTGACTATAAGAGGTGCTGCCCAAATGCTCTCTAAGCATCAGTACTCCTGGAGCTCAGGACAAATGGCTTCCCTGGCCATGGGGGCCTTCACCATGATACAGGGCTCTAAGGGGACGCTGGAGCTGTTGGGCAGGATATTGTTGTATTTGAACCAAAAAATCATTTTTAAATTGAAAAAAGAAAATCTCCTGAATTTCCCAAGTGCCTGCACCACATACTCCCCTTGTCAGACCCCATTTTCATGTTACTGCATAGCTTGGGCCAGAGGCTCAAAAAGGACACAGCTGGTTTAGGGAAGGGGGTGGCTGAAGAAGATAGTGTAGCTGAAGGCAGCTGTGTGACCTCTTCCCCCACACCCTTCCCACCCTCTAGGCAACTCTCTCCCTTACCTGTTTTTGCTATGGCTGTAAAGGTATTTTCCTTTTGCCCCACTCTTTCCCATGCCTTTACTCTGGGATCCTATTTTGGGCCTGGGGTGCAGGCACCTGGGGCTGGTCTCAGGAGGGTGCTAGGCTGCAGACTGCCTTGTACCCCCTGGACACCCTCACATGGTTTTTCTGTGTTATTTCATAAGACTCTTTGAAGTCCAATAAAGCATGTAGGAGATTTTAACCTCTGCTGGCTTTGACTCTCATTGTATTCTTTGTGGCATTGGAGACAGGATGAAGAAGGGAATATTTCCCCTTGGACAGGGAAAACTGAAACTCTCATACACATACCCAGAAGGTCTCCAGAGAGGGCTGCCAGTTGGAATACCAGATGTCCCAGTTGAAATACAGGATGCCTGCCTGGTTAAACTTGAATTTCTGATAAAAACTTTTTGTGCAATCATGTCCCTGCAACATTTGGAACACATTATTTTTGTTTGCCGAATCTGACAACCCCATCTTTGGGCCATCCTTACCCTATCTATCCTATGGTCTTGCCTATCACCTCTGACTTTTAGAATTACTTCACAGGGAGCTTGGGGTACATCTAGAGGGTAGTGAGGAACCGATGAAAGTTCTTATAAAGGGATGCCACATGAGCTTTCATGATAATCAGTTTGTGTCGTCCAGATCACAAGCTTCTACATCACTCTTGTGTATTACGTCTCTTACCTATTCTCACTCCCCTCATTCAATCACCAAGCACTGTCCATTCCGCCTCCACTGTTTCTGCCACCACCCACTGGACAATTATAAAAGCAAATGGGCCATGGCTCTGCCCTGGTCTGCTCAAAACTCCTCCAGAGCTCCCACTCCATCAGGAAAAAATCAAACACGGGCTCGCAGGACTTTCTTCCAAGGACTGAGTGCCAGATTTCCTCCGATGTAGGAGCGTGGGGCTCCTGGCTGCCTCCAGCTATGGATCACAGGCTGCAGCTCACATCGGATAGCAGTCGGGTTATTATATTCTAACAGTCGTCAAGGCAAGAAAGGGTTTTGAATGGTTGGGTTTTTATTTCAAAAATACCTGAACCATCTTGACTAAGGCCGGGGCGCGCCAAGGAGAGGGGCGGGACCAGCCTTGGCGGGCTGTGCGCGCCGCGCGGGGTTCCGGCCCAGAGTCGGCTTTGCCCACCATCAACATGGCGGCAGGAGAACCGCCTTCTCGCCGGGCTTGCCCACACCCAATGTGGCCATGGAAAAGGCGCAGTTTCCAGGGCCCTGCCCATACTCAACATGGCGGCTATCGGGTGAGGCCCGTTTGGGGCTGCGCTGGCCCTGCCCACGAACCGGGACGCTGGCAGCGTCGAGTAGGCGTCATTCGAGCTCCGTCGCGCCGATTTTGCGTCTCGGGTGGCGGGAGCGGGAAGGGGATTCGGATTGTCGCGCCTCCGCTCCGTGGAGGAAAGTGTTCTCTGGCTCCCAAATCCAGTCCTTGCACCTGAGCGCCCCCAGGAACCCGACCCTTCGCACTCTACCACCTTCTCGATCCCGCCGGCGCCTCCGAATTGCAGCCCCGTCTCGAATCCTTCAGCGCCTCAGCCGCTAGCCGTGATGCATGTGATCAAGCGAGGTGAGAGGCCGGGGAGGGGGCAGCAGGTTAGTGGGGAGCAGGTAAAGGGGTCGCGGGCTGCTAACGCCCTTCCAATTGGCAACGCCCGCCCACCTCTACCGCTTCCCGCCCGGCCCGCCGCGGCTTCCCGCCCTGTCAAGCCCGCTGGGCCTCTGGCTTGCGTCAGTCTGTCCCTCCCGTCCCCCTACATTCGCCCCACCGCTGGTCTTCAGCGTGAGCCCCCTCTGCTTTGTCATCCTGCCGCCTTTCAAAAGAGTACTACCTCCCTTTATCGAGTAGTTACTATGTGCACCGAGCATTCTCGGGGCAGTATTTATTAGTTCCGCTTCTCGGGTAAAGAATCTGAAGTGCAGAGAGGGGTGACTGACGCAAGGCCACCCTTGATGGTGAGGCCGGGTTTCGAACCCAAGGCTAACGTCGGAGTGTACTGGAAAACCCTGGGGCTGGTGACCTGTCCTAGGGAGTGGGAGGAGCCAGAAGGAAGGGACTTTGCCTTCAGTTTCCTGATCTCTTTTGTGGGGATGTGGGGTGAAAAAGAACAGATCTTAGCCACAGACATGCCTGGAACTTGCCCTTTGTGGGAGGTGTTTGGCCAAGTTTGGGACTGGGACTACTGATACCGAATCGGAGTAGGGAGGCCAGGACAACTTCCGACAGGATGGGGACTGACTGGGAAGAGCCAGGGACTTGGGTTCTTCCCCAGCAGTTATTTCCCGTTAGACTTGCCGTGTTCCTCCTTTGTGCCAGATCTTTGCTTGTCAGTGTGAAATTATAAGAGGAGACAGCCCCTGCCTTGGCAAAAGGTTTAATCAGATTGGAAAAACAAGAGCAAAACGTACGTCTAGCAGAGAACTGTAAGTAGGTAGGAACAAAGTTTGACTTGAATCTGCTTGCCTCTGTTAAAACAATAAAATTATTTCAGAATTGTAGGCACTTACTACTGGTTGACTGACTGGTGGTTTCCTCCACTAGCCCGTGAGCCGTTTGAAGATGCAGACTTTATGCCCACACTTAGCACCGGACTTGCCACGAACAGGAATTCAAAGAGTGAATGAGAAAAATTATTTAAAAATACAGGATTTAATGGATTCTCTGGGTAGGCAGGTGGTTGATTTGGTTTTGTCCAGGGAGTTTAATAAAAGCCAAGAGATAGAGAAGTGGACAGTGATGGCCCTTCTTCCAGTTTTTAGTATCTTGAGAACATCATTCTCTGAATTTCCCTGTCCTCCATTTAGCTGATGAGACCAAAAGACCAGAATACACGGTTCACTTTTATTGGTCCGTTCCTGTGAATGAAAGAAACATCTAGTTTTTTTAGAGCTTTAGAAAAAGGTATGGAAGGATGAAGATTTCCTTTTGATAAGTCTGTAACAAATATGAATTGAAAACTTGTGAACTTAAATTACTGGAGTAGGTAACACCCCTGTGTTGTGTTTTTAACCTTTGAGTCTACTTTGAAATACTGTAGTTTAAAAAGTACTACCTACAGCAAGCTCTAAAAGGTGGGGCTTATTTTGTTTCTTATTCCTTCAGAGAACATAATTTGATCCAGATGATTCTCAGCTAGATTGTGCTAGTGTAGCATTCAGCAGAGCTTGTTAATTTACACAGTTATACTTGAGTTTATTTTATTTTTGAAAAAAATTTTTAAAGATTTTATTTACGTATTTCAGGCAGAGTGTGAGAGAGCATGAGGGGGGTGGTTGTTGGGTGGGGCAGAGGGAGAGGGAGAAGCATACTGTTTGCTGAGCAGGGAGTCTGGAGTGGAGCTCTGTCCCAGGATCCTGGATCATGACCTGAGCCAAAGGCAGATGCTTAACTGACTGAACCACCCAGGTGCCCCTTATTTTTTATTTTTAACATGCTCGGGGTTTTTCTTTTTCTTATTTTTGGCATGCCAATGAATAGACTAGCTTCTGTCATTTTTGTTAATTTTAATGTAATTATCCAGGAGGGCAGCTGCCAGTCAACCTAACTTGTGTAGTAGTCCTCTTCCACTTATTCAGGGTTTTGCTTTCCACGGTTCCAGTTACTCCAACAACTGTGTTCTGGAAGCAGATGATCCTCTCGAGTATTGTCAGATCAGTAGTAGCCTAAGTGTACATCAGAGGGCCTACATCTTTCACCTCACTTCATGTCATCACAGAGGCAGTTTATCATCTCACATCATTACAAGAAGGGTGAATACAGTACACAAGACAGTTTGAGAGAAAGACCACATTCACATAACTTTCATTATAGTATACAGTTATAATAGTTCTATTTTATTACTGGTTTTTGTTGTTTATCTCTCTCTTTTTTAAAAGATTTTATTTGTTTATTTGACAGAAATCACAAGTAGGCAGAGAGGCAGGCAGAGAGAGGAGGAAGAAGGCTCCCTGCTGAGCAGAGACCCCCCCCCCCATGTGGGGCCTGATCCCAGAACCCTGGGATCATGACCTGAGCCAAAGGCAGAAGCTTTAACCCACTGAGCCACCCAGGTGCCTCTATTGTTTATCTCTTAATGTGCCTAATTTATAAATTAAACTTTATCATAGGTATGTATGAACAGGAAAAAACAGTATATATAGGGTTTGGTACTTTTCTGTGATTTCAGGCACACATTCTCTGATTTCAGTCTTGGAATGTATCCCCTGCTGCTAAGGGAGTACTACTGTACTTACTGAATGTGCTTATATCTTGCTAAGGATTCTGAGGGAAATAATAGAGGAAGAAAGCAGCTTCATCTTCAGAGATCTTAAGATTGTTAGGGACATAGGAATAATCCATATGAAAATTGTTAGATAACAGAAGGAAATAGTAGATGAGTTTTTCTCTTGCTATTTTCAGATATTTTTCCTAATGGGAGAGTATTATTGTATTGCTCAAGGAGATTAAGGTTAAAGAATTAAAGTTGAGAATCATTGCAATAAAGGCAGTGTAGCTGAGTTGTAAAGTGTGCTTTGGAATATAGTATATGGTTTTCAAAACTTTGGGTTGCAATCTACAGTAAGAATTACATTTTACGTCATGACTGAGAACACACTAGTGTATGTGTGTGTGTGTGCGTACCAGTTTTCATAAAATGAAATTAACATTTCCAAATAATTCCTTTTGAAGCACCCATGTGTACTCTGGTAATCTCTCTTCTAAATCTGTTCTCTAGCCCTTCCTCTCTTTTCCCCTTATTCCCTCCCTACTTCTTCCTAATCACCTCTACAGCCCACTGTATTATCTTACAAATCTGTGTGGATGTTCTGCTGGCACTGAGAAACAGCGGTGAGGAGGTAGACCTGCATCCTGTTTTCAAGGATCTTAATAATCAATTGCAAAAGATAGACACATCAGAAAACTTAATATAATAAAATACGATAAATACCCTGGTAGGTAAAGTAAAGGCTATAGGAGCCCATTCATTCAGTTATTCAGAAAGTGTTTTTTTAGTATTACTTTGTGCCAGGAATTGTTTTAGGTACTGGAGATTACAGCCATGAACAAAACAAGCTAAATCCCTTTTCTTATGGAGTTTACATTCTTGTTTGGGTGAGAGTGGTAAGTATACATAAGAAACAAGCAAACATAGGAATCAGTTAATTTTCAGATAGTGATTAGGGAGATCATGACAAGTAAACCCAT